TTGAACAATGCATTCTTTCCTATTCTGCTGTTACTATTTTTTTTCTTTCTGGTTCTTTCCATCTAAAAATTTCCAAACTAAAAATTGCTGATTAAAAATATGTAATCTGTTTAAATAAACATCAACACTTTGTAGCTGCACCCTGCATTCATGGTGTTTTCCCAGTTCCCACAATGTATCTTTTGTACTGCTGGATACTAGGTGAGCAGAGATGACCCCTAAGTGGCCCATGCTGTGACAGGTATCACAAATATAGCACTGTATCACTGTCCTCCCGTTGTTCATCGATTTGTTCAATCAGGCTCAGTAATTGTCTCTATTCTGAGACTTGTTACTGTTTTTGGCATATCCAGTACATCGTGGGTAGCTTGCCCCACTTTGCGGTCAGGACAGGATACTCTCTGTAGCTTGCCAGGCTCTCTGAGAGGGATGGAGGAATCAACCACGGGTCAGCCGCATGCAAGGCAAATGCCCTTCCAGCTGTGCTATCGCTCCAACCCATCATAAATGTAAAAAAAACAATATAAGGTGTTGCTTATATTGTCTCCATCTAAAAGAATAGAAAAATAAGCACAGTAAGGTAAATGCAGGAAGAAAAATGTCCATAATGGCAGCAAAAGGGAAAAATGTGCTTTACGTGAACCGGAGGACTTGTTCATGGAAGGTTGTAAGAAAAGGTTGTTTCCCTGTTCCCTTCCTCCATATTTTGTTGATGGAAGGCACTCACGCACCTTGCTGTGGTGCTTGCCAGAGGTTAAAGGTCAGCTTGTGGTGCTCACACATCTGGTCATGCTGTATGAGAGGTTGCACTCATTTAATTATGCTCAGGCACATTCTGGTTCTAATGATTGCTGAGGACACATCTAGCCGAAGTAGGGCCCAGAGATTGTGGTGTGGCCAAGGATCCCAAACAGCAGGGCTACAGAGAAGTGTTAGCAATCAAACTCAGGACCTCACGCTTGCTTGGCAAGTGTGGTAAAGCAACAAGCCATCTGCAGGCTCTAAGACAAAGACTTTGGAGACAAAATCTCCTTCCATGTATAGCTTCTAGAGTCTTATAGAATTTATCCATCTATTTCTTAAGTACTTTAAGAAGATTTAGAGTATTCAGTGTTTGATTGCTGCAGATACAAAGATAATTCATGGTTACTTTCCATCAAATTTGCAACCTTGTAATTACAAAATTATATCCATGTTAAGGGGTTAAAACATGTGACTATTATTAAAATGTAAATTCTAAGTACTCAGGTCTATTTTTTTTAAACAAATAAATTTTATTTGGAGGATTTTTAAGGTGTGGAGGGGAAGAGAGTGAGCGGACAACACATGTGCTCAGCCCACATTGCTCGGCCACGTGGGCACAAGCAGCACATGAGCTCAGGCAGCATATACGCGCCCTTCCTTTGTTCAAGGTGGCCTTTATAGGGTTTCTCAGCCTTCCCTCACGTGAAGCTTCTTCACAGGTAAAAGTCCGTTGCTAAGGAGGTTACCAGGGAGGTTGGGAGTGGTGGTCTTCTTTGGGCTGAATCACTAAAGTTAATCGGATTAAAAGGGAGGTCCAAAAAAGAGGAACTTCATGGGGAGGAGGTCTGTGATGGTCTTATCAGGTCTGTGGATGGTCTTATCAGGTCTTTGTTTTCTGCATTGTCTATTCTAATTAAATAATTCATCTGTTTTGTTTGGTGTGTGTATGTGTGTGTGTGTGTGTGTGTGTGTGTGTCTGTGTCTGTGTCTGCGTTTTGGAGGGAGGAGGCTTATTGTACCCTCCCTGGCAATGCTCAGGAGCTACTCCTGTCTCTGTCAGGGATTAAACTGGGGTCAGCCACCTGCAGCCACCTTAGCTTCTGTATCATCGCTCTAGTTACTCCACTCCCCTTCCTTTGCTTTGTCTTTGCGGAGGGAATGGAGCTTTAAAACAATGCTCAAGGCCTGGAATGTACTCCCTATGATATTCAGCTACACCTGACTCTGCAGTATTGCTCTAGAGAAATAGTGCTGGAACTATAAGGGCTACAGCCCGCAGTGCTCAGGGGACCGTGCAGTGCTGAGGATTGAACTCAGAATGACCTGTATGCAGAACACATACTCCATCCAGTCCTTTAGAGTATTACCTGACCCAATTTATCTTCTTTAAAGCTTACAATTATCATTCTCAGGTGTACATGACTAAAGAGGGTACAATTTGATGCAAAAGAATTCTACATTTTTGGCTTAAAAAATTCCAACCTTGGAGAAATGGGTGTTGCAATACTGTATGACTGAAACCTAATCATGAACAGCTTTGTAAGGGTCTATCTCACTGTGATTCAATTAAAAATCTTTAAAAAGAAGTGCCAACCATTTAATTAGTTTTTCTTCAGCATTACAAGCATTGCATATAGAACAATTTTAGGGTATAATACTCAAGAATGGAATAAAAAATGCAGTAAATTATATCTAGAGGACATATTCAGAGGATAAAATAATACATATTTGATTCAGTAATGCTGTATTAACTATGCAGATTGACAGTATTTAGATAATTTTTAGAAGAATAGGATTAATTTTTTCTAAAATAAAGTTCCATAAACTTTTTGAGTTTACCTTTAGGGAATGACATTATTATAAGACTTGGATATTGAGGGACTGCACTGCACTGCACTGTCCTCCCATTGTTCATCGATTTACTCGAGCGGGCCCAGTAATGTCTCCATTGTGAGACTTGTTGTTGCTATGAATAAGTTTTTGCTTTTCATTTTGTACTTTATTGATTTGCTTATTTACTTTGGATTTCTTTAATTTATATTAAAATACTTGGAGACTGTACTATTTTTTCCAATACTTAAGATATAAGCTATTTTAGAACAGATTTGTCAAATTTCTTTATTTATGGTTAAATTGAACAATATGTGTTTTGCCTGCAGAAAAGTTTGCTCTTAGAGGGCTTCATTAAAGATTGGAAGACTAGTGCATTTATTTCATCAGACTATAAAGTTAGCTTTTTCTGTACCAAACACACTGAAAATTAGTGGCTCAAAAAAGCCTTCATAATTATGGGGTCAGCCATGTGAGTTGGTCTTAACTGGCAGTTCTGTGGCTCTGTGGCATTGCTGACGTTACCTGGGTTCTTTTGTTTCTCTGGTCAGTTTCTGGTTGGCTGGAAACAGCTTGATCTAGCATCATCTCTGCTGGAATTGCTTGGCTGCTCTTCATAGTCTCTTGCCCAGCCAACTAGCACATCTTATTTGCTTAGGGGATGAGTAGAGTTCTATGAAATTGAGCAGAAATGGGCAAGTCCTCTTGAAGCTTAGTCTGCAATTTGGCCAACAGCATCGTTTATATGACATTCTAGGTTAAGATAATTTCAAGACCAGCCTAGATTCAAGAGTTGCAGAACTAGACTGCGCTGTTTGATGGAAGGAGTTGCAGAGTCACATTACAAAGGGGCCTGGATAGAGGGGGAATAATGGCAACTATTATGCAGAAACCTCTGATACACTGTCCACATAATGTATGAATAACCAATAGGGTTTTTTAAAGGGAATCAGAAACATAACTTATTCCTTAACACTTGCTAACATAATCCTCTTGATTTTATAGGGATAGTGTAAATAGTTATTCAGTTTTAAAGTAATTAATACATTCTAGATCCAGCTTCTTTTTAATGGCATCAGATAGAATTGATGCTTTTGTGTCCTAAGGCAAATCAATGATTATCATAAGAGGTTGTTTCAAAGCTTAATTGGTTTGAATTTTTATTTTACCACTTATTTACTATGTGACTGAATAAATCTATCTGTAGGTCTCTGCCTACTAATGGTAAAATTGACATAATAATAATAAATGTAACTTATAAGATTGACCTGATGCTTCAATCTAAATTAATGTCTATGAAGAGCTGATTATAATATCTCGAGCCTTGTAGAGGCAGCCAAACTATTAGCTATAGTCATTGTCATCATTTTCACCACTCACCTTAGTCCCAGATTGTTAATTTTATGAATTGTGACTCGTACAATTATGGGGTCATAAGATAGATTCTATTACTGACTTTAGATTACAACTGTCACTGTCACTGTCCTCCCGTTGTTCATCGATTTGCTCGAGCGGACCCAGTAACGTCTCCACTGGAGACTTTGTTGTTACTGTGTTTGGCATATCGAATACATCACGGGTAGCTTGCCAGGCTCTGCCGTGGGGGCGAGATACCCTCAGTAGCTTGTCGGGCTCTCCGAGAGTGGTGGAGGAATCGAACTCAGGTCAGCCATGTTGGCTGCGTGCAAGGCAAACACCCTACCGCTATGCTATCACTCCAGCCCAAGTTACAACTAGGAACATGAAAGTTCAAGAAATTACATAGGCAGGACTCAAAAGAACTTCATTCAAGTTTTGGCCACAGTCTCTAGAGTCTGGAATTGTCACCTCATAAAACACTATTACACCTTGTCACAGAAGGTTCCAGAACAATTGCCTGCAAGTTAAACATTTACCGATTGAACTCCTTTGTTATCATTTTAGGGAAGCTTAATTCCACCCATTCATTGCTTTTCAGTTGAGAACAAGAGACAGCTCTTTTTTTATTGAAAGAACATCTACATGCAATCAAGTACCCTACATGCAATCAAGTACCTTACATGAAATCAAGTACCCTAGGCATAAGGAGGATGGAACTGGTTTCTACTTCTGATTCCCCACCTGCCAAAAGGAGAGAGGTTCACTGTGAACATCTTGGTTCACCTTCACGAATAGCCCCCTTAGGAGTTTCTAATTTCTATTTAATAAGATGAGGAAATTGAGGTCTTTGTCCACAAAGACAAAGAATGGGTTTCTCTTGAAAGGTTTTTTTTTGTGTCTCTGTTGAACTGCTAAATTAAGAAATTAAGAGTAAAGTGAGCTGTCTGGATGCTTTTATAAAGTAGCTCTGTGATTGTTATCACCAAATTTGCCTGTTTGAAAGAAGCAGCAGAGTGTCTGGCTTCTTCCGAGTGATGGTGTAGCTAAGTGGTTGTGTTCCCTTCCAGAGGAGATCTGTACCCTGGTGATCGCTGAGACTTTCCCTGAAGATGCAGGAATTTTTGCATGCATGGCACGGAATGATTTCGGATCTGTCACCAGCACTGCCCAGCTGCTTGTCACCTCAGGTATGTGAGGCAGGAACACTCTCCAGGATTCCTCAAGGCATGCTAAGTATGGTTCTCCAAGGCAGAGAGCGCACCAAGCACCTATACTAACCTAGAATCACGCCTCATCCAAAGGCAACATCTGAATCAGAGGTTCAATTTTTGGTCTCAGTGGTACCACCAGCAGAGATCTGGAGATACTTGTACAAATTGTTTCATCCATATCGAAGCTTCTCAAACTTACCCAAACTTCTGAGAAGGTAATAAAATGAACCAAATATTATTAGAAAAGGTAGGAAGATCTGAAAGAACATTTACATTAAGTGTGGGCTATAACTTTGATGTGCGTGACATATAAAGCAATATACTGTACTATTAAAGCCAGTGGACTGGAGAGATAGCACAGCAGGTAGGGCTTTTGCCTTGCACAAGGCAAACCCGGGTTCGATTCCTCCATCCCTCTTGGAGAGCCCAGCAAGCTACCAAGAGTAACCCGTCTGCATGGCAGAGCCTGGCAAGCTCCCCATGGTGTGTTCAATATGCCCAAAACAGTAAAAACAAGTCTTACACTGGAGACGTTACTGGTGCCTGCTTGAGCAATCAGTGAACAATGGGAAGACAGTGCTACAGTGCTATTAAAGCCAATATTCAAAAGTATATGATTGTTGGTGTACTTATGAATTCTGGTCTGATATTGAGGTCTTTAATCCATTTTGATATTACTTTTGTACATGGTGTTAGGCAGAGATCTGAGCCCATTTTTTTGCTTGTAGCCGTCCAGTTTTGCCAGCACAGTTTGTTGAAGAGACTTTCCTTGTTGCACTTCACATTTCTTGCTCCTTTATCAAAGATTAGATGATCATATGTTTGGGGGGAAATGTCAGTATATTCAACCCTGTTCCATTGGTCTGCAGCTCTGCCTTTGTTCCAGTACCATGCTGTTTTAATTATTACTGCTTTGTAGTAGAGTTTGAAGTTAGGGAGGTTGATTCCTCCCATTTTCTTTTTCCCAAGAATTGCTTTAGCTATTCATGGGGGATTATTGTTCCATATGAATTTCAGGAGTATTTGTTCCATTTCTTTGAAGAATGACATGGGTATCGTTATAGGGATCACATTGAATTTGTACAATGCTTTGGGAAGTATTGCCATTTTGACAATGTTAATTCTCCCAATCCATGAGCAGGGGATATCTTTCCGTTTTCTCTTGTCCTCTCTTATTTCTTGTAGTAGCGTTTTGTAGTTTTCTTTGTAAAGGTGCTTTACTTCCTTAGTTAACCTGATTCCTAGGTACTTGATTTTCTGGGGCACAATTGTGAACAGGATTGTATTTTCATGTCACTTTCTTCTCTCTCACTATTTGTGTATAGGACAGCTAAATGAGTCAGAAAGAGAGGGACAGACATAGAAAGATTGCATTCATTTGGGGAATATAAAGTAACAAAATAGGAGACTAACACCCAAGAACAGCCGAGATAAGTACCAGGAGGTTCACTCCATGGCTTGGAGGCCAGCCACACATGCTAGGGGAAAAGGCAGCTCAGATAGAGAAGGGAGCACCAAATAAAGGTGTTGGGAGTATCCTCCCAGGATGGGAGATGCATGCTTCATCTATAGTAGACTATAGACCAAACACGATTGCCATTCAATGCAAACCACAGCACCCGAAAGGAGAGAGAGAACAAAGGGGAATGCCCTGCCACAGAGGCAGGGTGGAATGGGGAGTATGGGGGGTGGGAGGGATACTAGGATCAGTGGTGGTGGAAAATGGGCACTGTGGAGGAATGGGTACTCGATCATTGTATAATCAAAACCCAAGCACAAAAAATTGTAAGTCTACAACTGTACCTCATGGTGTTTCACTAATAAAATTTTTTTTTTAAAAAGTACATGATTTTTGTTGAAGTGTTATACATGGAGCAATAGCACAGCGGTAGGGCGTTTGCCTTGCACGCGGCCAACATGGCAGACCCGAGTTCGATTCTTCCGCCCCTCTCGGAGAGCCCGGCAAGCTACTGAGAGTATCTCTCCTGCACGGCAGAGCCTGGCAAGCTCCCCGTGACGTATTCGATATGCCAAACACAGTAACAACAAAGTCTCACAAAGAAGTTACTGGACCCGCTTGAGCAAATCGATGAGAGAACAGTGACAGTGACTGCTTATTGATCATCACAAATGACTTTGTAATTCATGGGAATTAATTAAAAAATAAATGTAAAAATGTAATTTTTAAAAAAACATTAGAACCTTACTTCCCAGGAAATCAGCATGAAACATGAAGCTTTGCTTCTCCTTTTTTAACTTTAGTGGACCGTTTTCCACTATTATTAATAAGCTTTGATTTGTTTGTATTGCTTCATCTCTGTTACTAAATAGTGATTTTTAAATAGTTCTTTGGCCAAGCCTGGCATTTAGTAGCAATCACTTCATTGGTTGTGGGCTGCAGGCCATAGATGTGGAAAGAACCATGGAATTACACTTTTCTTTAGAAGAGAGACTAGGTGCTAGATGGCAGCAGAGGCACAATCAAAACTGGTGGAATGGGGATTGTAAATGCTTTTCTCCTAAAAAGCACGCAATTTACTTTTGACTGGGAAACTATTTCTGTGAATGAGTACTTTCTTTACAGTTGATTTATTTTTGGTTTAAAATACTGTAAAACTTTAGGATTTTAAACTTCTTGACTCTCTGTGGGTAGTTATACTCGCCATCCCCACTACCATCCATTGCTCTCTGATCCACCTCCAAAGACCTTTTACCCATTCCTCCGCCCACCTCCTCTTGTCCTTCAGTAACTATCATAGTTTTTCCTGAGTCTGTCACTGTCACTGTCCTCCCGTTGTTCATTGATTTGCTCGAGCTGGCCCAGTAATATTGTGAGACTTGTTACTGTGTTTGGCATATCAAATACGCCACGGGTAGCTTGCCAGGCTTTGCTCTGCGGGCAAGATACTCTCTGTAGCTTGCCAGGCTCTCCGAGAGGGGCAGAGGAATCGAAATTGGGTCGGCCCTGTTGGCCGTGTGCAAGGCAAACACCGTACCTGCTATGCTATTGCTCCAGCTCATAGTTTTCCCTGAGTTTAGGAATTAATTTTGTTCTTTGTGTTCAGTTTCTTTGCTTTAGTTATTTCCACTTGAGTGAAGCCATTCAGTAATTTTTGATCATAGCCTTGCTTATTTTACTTAGTACATCAACTCAACTTCTATTCATTTTATCCACCACAGGCACATGTTCGGTTTTTAAATACAAAGTAGTATTCTGTTGAAATTAGTACCACAGTTCTTTATATGGACACCTGTTAACAGATCCTTAGATTTAATCCATGGTTTGGTTCTTGTGAATAATGCTTCTCTAAGCATAGGGTCGCAGATGACCCTTTGAGAGAATATTTTTGGTATCGACAGGCAGTATTTCATATTTTCATCTAGGGTAAAAACTACAGGTCAAACAGAACCAACAAATATCTTTGGGGGTTTAATTTATCTCAGTAAGCATTTTTTAAAGTACATTCCAAGAATTCTGTTGGACTCTAGGCAAGGTGAGGAATCCAAAAATGACATGATCTTATCTCAAGCTTTCAAGGGAAAGCTTTCTATTGAGAACAAGTGAGAATTTTATTTTGCATTGGAGTTATAGCTGTGGCAACCATCTGAAATGTGGATAATTGTTCCCGTGATATCACAAGACACATCATGTAGACCCAGAGTTTGACTTTTTTGACCTTTAACTTGACTATCAGTTGCCTACCATTCACAAGCTTTACATCTTGCATTCATATCAGTCAGGCATAGGCCAGGCATGTGTTTGAATCCATGGGTTGAAATGTGAGAGACAACAAAGGATTATTATTAGTGGCTCTTGTGAATGTTGTGATTTTCTTAAGACCAACTTTTATCATTAGCTCTTGCTCACAATTTGTTAATAAGTTGGTAGTTGAATTCCTCATACGTGGGCCAGATCTGGACATGAACAGGTAGTCACTCAGTACGAGTTTGGGAAAGCCAGGGCATTTAACTGCCTTTGCTTCTACAAAGAGACAATTCAGCATACTCTTCTATCATAACATAGAGCAGAAGAGACTCTCAGATGAACTATGACAGTGTGAAAATCACTGTTGAAAGAACAGTATCTTACATTTTCCTCCCTTTCCTCTTCGTTAGCCAACACTGAAAACTGTGGCTATGACTCAATGGGAGAATCCAACAGTGATCACTTCCAGCATTTTCCACCTCCCCCACCCATTTTGGAGACAAGTTCCTTTGAGTTGGCTTCAAAGAAACCAGCTGAGCTTCAGCAGGTGAACAGCCCTGAGTTCGGATTTAGCATGGCAGCCCTTCAAATGCAATTCAGTTCTGCTGAGAGTGAAACTAATGGAGTACACCCCAACCATGTGGTAAATGGACTGATTAACGGCAAAGCTAACACCAATAAATCTCTTCAAACACCAGCTGTCCTGCTTTCACCCACTAAGGAGCCACCACCTCTGCTTGCCAAACCCAAACTGTGAGTATTCCGGCATGGTTGTTTAAATATTTTCTCCACTCTTACTAAATTGCCTCTTTAGTCTGGGGAAACATTTTTGCATGGACTCAACAATGTGGCAGGTTGCCTCTCCCGTAGACTCATTGTCCTTTGCTGATGTGACTTTGCTTCCAAGTAGGGTTCTTCAAAATATAAAAAAGGTAAGTAAGAAGCCTGGTCAAAGCTGCCCTTTGCTAAAAACTCTTAACTGGTTACAGCTGTGAAAATATCTGTGCATGGTGCGCCCTTGCAATGTATAGCAAGGATACATTGGAAGGACTACATTCCAACAGAGTCCCTCCCCAGAGGTGATGGGAAGGGGAGAGGGAGGGCTACTTTGAACTCTCTATTAAAAGCATTTCCAAATGTTTTAAATTTAAGAATTGGTAAGAAAATCTAATACAGATAAAGCATTCGAAGAGTAAACGCTGTGGGTGGAAAGTCAGTGGGCAAAAAGCACAGATAGGCTTGTGAGGAAGGAGTGAACCCTTCCCGGCTTTACCAACTTGCCTTTGGAATTCCACGGAACTGCATATTTCCATGAATGCTACTTTCATATTTGATTTCCACTATTTTCTTAGGATGATAAATCTTGCATGAGCTGTTTCTATTGGCACCACACAGCCATGAGTTGTTATGAATGGAGCCATTACAATGTCAGAGAGAGGCAGAAATCAATTAACTCTAGAGGCTGTATCATAGCAGAACAGGCCTTGAATTATTGCCCTGATAGAGGTGGTGGAAATGTCAGAGTCACAGAAAATGTATGCATACTCTACAAGGTCACATTTCCATGAGAATGAATTTGCCAGAATCTAGGAAAGACGTTTGTATTTCACCAGGATGTCTGATGTTTTTGATTTGGGGCAGGAAATATAACTAGGGTAGAAATTATTCTTGATTTCCTTAGCACTGCACAGCCTGCTCTCTTCTCCCTGGTAACAATGCTTGTGTAAGAAATGCTTGAATATATGATATTCCCGGTAACAGGGCTTATATTTCTATCTCACTTATTGTTCACTAAGCAATTTCATGACTATTCTTAGACTAATCAAATAATAATCTGCAAAATGAACTTATACATTAACCAATGGTCAGATAATTGTGTACAAATAAACTTCTGAAACATCTTGTGCAATTTCATAGAGTGATCTATTAGGAAAATGCAGTCAGTTTTATATTTGCTCCTAGCTATGTTCTCAGGCAGTAAGCCTATTAAGTGTAGGCAGTATAATGTCCTCACTTACCATCATCACTAGATGCTTGGAATCTGCAACATCAAAAGTAAATTTATGTAAGGAAACCAGGTCCTTCAATAATGACATTTCCTTCAAAGCCTTTGTAATGCAGGGGTGTAATTCAAAGGCTTGACTTGTGTGGAAACTGTAGGTACAACTTTCATTCCCACTCTCCATGGAAATGACGAACACATGAGATGAACTCAGTGGCAATGTTGAAAGAGATTAATCAATGCTCTGTTAGCATCAGCCCACAAAGTTAGTGACCACTACTGACCACTTTTTTTTATTGAGTTACCATGGGATACTGTTATAAAACTTTCATGATTGAGTTTCAGTCATACAATGACTGAACACCCATCCCTCCACCATGTGCATTTTCCACCAACAATGTCCCCTGTATCCCTCCTGCCACCTCCACCCCATCCTACCCCTTGCCTCTGTGGCAGGCACCTTCCTTCTTTCTCTCTCCTTTTGGGCATTGTGGTTTGCCATACTGATACTAATAGGCCAGCCATCATGTTTGGTCCTTAGTCTACTTTCAGCACACGTCTCCTATCCCAAGCGTTCCTCCAACCATCATTGACTTAGTCATCCTTTCTTTATCTTAACTGCCTTCTTTTCCAGAACATGTGCACCGATGAACACTTTTATCTTGATTATATATTTACTGAAACAAGGACCAGTTTTCCTAGGAAAGAAAGGGTTAATGTGTTTAATGACGGAAATATGACTGTACTGTTGGTCATATAGAGAGTAAAAGGTAAAGGTAAAGGCCCTCCCGTTGATCGTCGATTTGCTCGAGCGGGCCCAGTAACGTCTCCATTGGAGACTTTGTTGTTACTGTGTCTGGCATATCGAATACTCTCGGTAGCTTGCCGGGCTCTCCGAGAGGGGCGGAGGAATCGAACTCGGGTCGGCCATGTTGGCCGCTTGTAAGGCGAACGCCCTACCCACTGTGCTATCGCTCCAGCACCGTATAGAGAGTATCTCCCATTATTGGCTGATATAAATTGGATATAAATCACAGGAGTGCAAACATGAGGAGCTAATAGCAGACATTTATGCCCCTTCTTATCTTGAGAGTTTCAGCAGCTCTTCACTTTTGTCTGCTTTACCTTGATATTTGTGTGTGACCAACTTTGGGGGTGTGGGGGAGGGATGTCTCCAAAAGACAGACAAGACAAACTTGTGGTTCTTAAGAAGAGTCAATGGAACCCAGGTTTGAAGAGTGACATCACTATTTGTTTATTAGTCATACTTTCAATATTAGATAAGACACAGGGAAAATGGACTTTCATGTTTAACACCCATATAAAGGCATTGCCCCTACCCCCCATTTGTGAGGAAATTTAGGAGAATGCAGTATATTTCTTCACAAACCCTATTAACTCAAGAGAAAGCAGGATATTTCATTATAAAGCTGGTAACTCAGAAATAACATTTCTTTGATTCACGCATACACACTCCAAAATATACAAATACTGTTCCTCAGTAGACACTTCGATTGTTTGTTTATTGGGGCTATTGTAAAGAGTACTGCAGGAAACATGAATGTTCACATACTTGTTTGAATCAGTTTTCATTTTCTTTGTATACTCAGAAGTTAATTCTGAGTATTTTGAAGTTAATTTCAAAAAATCAATGAATCATATAACAATTTGTTTATTATTTTTTTTAAGAAAATAGTTTTTAGAGATATTTCATGAGAAAAATACAAGGAAGGAGGAGGGAGAGAAGGGAGGTTGTTTAAAAGAGAATTCAGGTTTCACTAGAGGGGAAAGAAAAAAAAACACCACAAATTTATCATCGGTTTAGATGCTGGAGAATCATCAAGAAAGAGAACATACCTATTTAAGACATTTTGAGGAAACATCTGCTCTTTTTATGCTGACTACTTTAATTAAAAAATAAATCAATACTGTCTGCTTTTCTCTTTCCAGCATACTTAAGTGTTTGAAGTAACCATTGTTATTGGTTTGGCCCGAGGTCTTCTACTCCTTTATTGTTGTTTTCTTAAAATATTTGCTCATTGTTGCAACATCACCTCCAGTGACAGAGGAATCCTATTGAAGGACATGCACAAATAATTTAGAATAGGATCAAAGTTATTGATAATTAATATTGATAACTGACTACAGGTAATTATAAAGAAAATCTTTCATACTTTTATTTTTAGTTTCATACGTGGGGAGAGATGAGATTTTTGTCTCCCATGGTTAGCAATGAAAACCTGTGGGTTTCTCAAACCACTTTTTATCATCCTATTATTTTATCCCCTTTCATTAAAAAAAAGAGAGGTTCTTGATAAGGGCCTTTTTAGTGTATTATACATCAGAAACATTTGAAATCAAAAAGTAGGAGACAATGAAGAGAAACAGATAATTGGAATTAGAGTAAATTGACATTTAGTCTTGCAATAAATAAAAGGTAAAAAAAAGGTAAAGGCCCTCCCGTTGATCGTGGATTTGCTCGAGCGGGCCCAGTAACGTCTCCATTGGAGACTTTGTTGTTACTGTGTCTGGCATATCAGATACTCTCGGTAGCTTGCCAGGCTCTCCGAGAGGGGCGGAGGAATCGAACTCGGGTCGGCCATGTTGGCCGCTTGTAAGGCGAACGCCCTACCCGCTGTGCTATCGCTCCAGCCCTGAGAAAACTATTTTTATTTGTTAGATTCCAGGGCGGGGGGGGGGATGTTTATTTGAAAAAAAAACCAAATCTCTAATTTTTTCTTCTTCAATAGCTTTAATAGTGATTATAGGAAGAAAAACAGGAGAGTTTTTCAGAAATCCTGTCTTCAGAGACATGCAGCCGTCCCTGGGCAGCCCCTGGAATGAGTTGGCACACAGGCAGGGGGCACTGCCCACAGTCTCTTTCTCCCAGTCTTTCTCTTGTCCTTCAAGTGTGCATTCCACACTATCCAGAGCACATTTAGAAACTGCTAGATGCCATGTGTATGGATTGGTGGAATCCTTATTATTTCTGTTGGCCACAAAGTGCACTTATAACACTGTCCAGGAGAAAAGCATAAATGAGACTTATTTATGTGACTTGTGTCTGATACATAAGACCGTATTACACTGCAGAGGAAAGAAGCAACAGGGTGCGTAAATCATATTTCTTACCAGAAAAAAAAAGAGGAGGGATAAACATGAACCTAACTTATGAACTATTTTCCTCATTCAGAAGACACCAAATATGTCTGTTATAGCCTACTCTATGAATGATGCCAGAAAATTCTAAATATAGAGCTCACTGTGTTAATAGGAAACAAAATCCCTGCTTCTCTATTTTCTTGCCAAATACAGCCCGTCAAAGGTATGGCTGCGCATGGGATCCCCAGGAATAAACCCTGGAAGGAAATTGGCAAATGCCAGATTTAGTGGGTGATTTGAGAAGCATATAGATGAGCCTGCTCAGGTTTTTCCACTGAGCTACTCTCCTAAATTAGACCCAACAATATACAAATAATAAGAGGCTCTTTGCAAACCCCATTTATTTCTGCTTTGTTTAGCATGTTCCTCTGTCTTAGGGGAGGGAGGGAGAGTGGAAACCTGTGGAAGAAACAGGGAGATTTCTAAAGGGTTGAAACCAAAGCCAAGTCCTTGTCCCCAGGAACAAGACAGTAGATAAAATTTATGCATATGTGTCACTCTAGTGCCAAGAATATACACATTACCATAAAAGTCCATGGTCTTCAAGGGAAGGGTAATGAAATGTTTTAAAAGGTTTACACACTTAATC